GGTTTCTTGTTGGAGTCTTATGGGTTTTCTACATGGAGTATCATGTCATCTGTGAATTGTGAAAGTTTGACTTCTTCCTTGCCAATCTGGATTCTTTTATTTCTCTTTGTTGTCTGGTTGCTGAGGTTAGGGCTCCCAGTACTATGTTAAATAACAATGATGAGGTTGGACATTCCCATTTTGTTCCTGACTGTACAGGAAAAGCTCTTAGTTTTTTCCCATTGAGGATGATATTAGCTGTGGGCTTTTTTTATATATAATAGGATTTGTAAAAAAAAAAAATAATAATAATAATAATAATAATAATAATAGGATTTGTAATCTTGTTGGAAGCCGAAAGAGTCAGTTTTGGATGCTGTATTTATCCTTTTTTTAAAAAAAGACTTATTTATTTTATTTACTATTTAAGAGAGAGAGAGCATGTAAGTGAGAGCAGGGGAGAGGGCCTGGGAGAAAGGTAGAGAGAGAGAGAGAGACAGAGACAGAGACATAGAGAAAAAGAGAGAGAAGCAGACTCCTCCATGTCTGCGGAGCCTATTGTGGGGCTCGATCCCACAACCCCAAGATTAGGACCTGAGCCAAAAATCAAGAGTCAGACGCTTAACCCACTGAGTTACCCAGGTGCCCCTGTATATATCCTTTTGATCAAAGTCCAAAAGAATAATTTTATATTTATTTGTCTATAATCTACATATTTTCTTTCCATTAGTAAAGAAAATTATTTGTATTTTACTTTTTAAAGATTTTTTAAAATTCTTTTTTAAAAATTTCGAGTTAGTTGACATACAGTTCAATATTGGTTTTAGGAGTAGAGTTCAGTGGCTCATCGTTTACGTATAACAGCCAGTGCTCATCATATCACTGGTGCCCTCCTTAATACCCATCACCCACCTATCCCATCCCCCACCCCTGCCCTCTGTCAACCCTCAATTTATTCCCCATAGTCAAGACCCATGATTCATTTCCTTCTCTCTCTCTTTTTACTCCTCTCCCATGTGTTCATCCTTTTTGTTTCCTAAATTCCACATGAGTGAAATCATATGGTATTTGTCTTTCTCTGACTGACTTATATTACTTAGCATAATACATTCTAGCTCTATCCACATCATTGCAAATGTAAAGATTTTTTTGATATTTTTATCACTACACCCAACATAGGGCTTGGACTCACAATCTTGAGATCAAGAGTCATTATGTTCTACAGACTAAGCCAGCCCAATGCCCCATATTAGTTTGTCTATGATCTACATATTTCCTCTCCATTAGTGAGGAAAATTATTTATATTTTAAACTATAGGTTTCTTATGCTTTAATATTTTTCATTAGGAAAATAATACATGTTTGGGGCACCTGGGTGGCTCAGTCGGTTAAGTGCCTGCCTTCAGCTCATGTCGTAATCTCAGGGTCCTGCCGTGGAGCCCCAAGACATCTCCCTTCTCAGCGTGGAGTCTGCTTCTCCCTCTGCTCCTCCCCCTGCTCAAGCTCTCTCTCTCTCAAATAAATAAAATCTTTAAAAACAAAAGAAAATAATATATGTTTATATTAGAAAATTTGGAAAAAGCATTTTAAGAATAAGAGGAAAAGTTATTCACAATACAGCCATCCAGACAACAATTGGCTTTTATTAAAGCCTAAGTATTTATGGGACTTTTTTCTTACATTGTAATAATCTTTCATATATAAAACTTTTTATATTCTTCTTACTCAGTATAATACACAATTCCTATGTCATTGTCACATAATATTTTACTGGCTACCTAATTTTACACCAGGTAGGTATTTCATAGTTTAAATAATTTGCATATTTGTTATCTTTATGGCTAAAATAGAGATTTGCCTTTTACTGTACCTTCAAATATATATATATACATATATATATATATATATATTTTAAGATTTTTATTTATTTATGAGAGACACAGAATGAGAGGCAGAGACACAGGCAGAGGGAGAAGCAGGCTCCATGCAGGGAGCCCCATGCGGGACTCAATCCCAAGACCCCAGAGTCATGCCCTGGGGTGAAGGTGTTGCTAAACTGCTGAGCCCCCCCCTGGGCTGCCCCTTTCAAAGATATCTATTCAATTTTTCATTACTGCTCCTGGTTAAACAATTTATATACATTTATGAAGAACAAAATTCAGTAGTTATATTAACAATTTCAAAATATAAAATTCAGATTTTTTAAAAAAGATTTTATGTATTGGGGATCCCTGGGTGGCTCAGAGGTTGAGCGCCTCCCTTCAGCCCAGGGTGTGATCCTGGAGTCCCGGGATCGAGTCCCACGTCGGGCTCCCTGCATGGAGCCTTCTTCTCCCTCTGCCTGTGTCTCTGCTTCTCTCTCTCTGTCTCTCAGGAATAAATAAATAAAATCAAAAAAAAAAAGAAAGAAAGAAAGAAAGAAAGATTGATTTTATTCATCTGGGATCCTATTGCTAATGTCCGAGAATCAGAACCTGTGCTGTTACTCAGAAGGCACTGCCCCTCCCTTGGTACTCACGTCTTCAGTGGTGGCCAGTTGGTGTGAACGTGATAACTTCTAGGCTTGTTATAAAATGTTTGTGGTTGCTCAGGAAAAGGAAGGCCTGCAGAGAGGGCGGCCTTCGCAGCAGCTTGCACTGGGAGGCAGCCGTTGGGCAGTGACCTGGTAAGGAGGAAGCCTGGGAGAAGAGGAAGGAAGGGAGGGAGGAGGGAAGGGGAAGAAAGAAGAAAAGGAAGAACCAACTCTCATTGCCTACCTACCTCTGATCTTCCCTGGTCTGATCTCCTGGGATCCCCATTGGTCAAATCCAAATTGAAACTAGAGAGCAAGGATATGGATATGGACACAGCCCACAGAGGCCAGGTCCCCAGGGCCAGGAACGGGGCAGACAAAAGTGCTGGGTCTGGAGGAACAAGACATTCAACACAAATACTATAAAATGAGTGGTATTGTTGTACCCGTGTTGCAGATGTGAAAACTGAGGTACAGAGACGTTAATTAATGTGCCCATGGATAATAGGGAAGCAAAATTGGCATTTACATCAAGTGTTTATATTTAGGGACACCTGGGGTTGCTCAGGGGTTGGGTGTCTGCCCTCTCTGGTCAGGTTGTGATCCCGGGTCCTGGGATCGAGGGAGCCTGCTTCTCCTCTGCCTGCCTCTCTGCCTCTCTCTCTTATGAATAAGTAAATAAATAATTTTTCAAAAACTGTTGATGTTTATTTTTTATTTTTTAACTGTTTATGTTTAATTACTATCCATCTTCCCATTTTTTTCTCCATGATGTCTCCCAAATAGTACCCTACACAGTAAGGGTCCTCAGTAAGTATTTTTGAAAGGAAGGAAAAGGGAAAAATGAAGAGACAACTATTTAGGAAGAATTTAAGTGAGCCTTCTAGAGGAATATCTTGGGTTAGCAAAGCCAACAGATGCACTTCTGGCAAGTTTTCATGAACCTGATAAATCCTTGTTTTTAGGAATGCTCAAATGTGCTTGGCCTGAGATGGTGACTAGACTTATCATTTCATTATGTAACAAAAAATAGCAAATCACTATGATGTACACCTGAAACTAATAGACTATTGAATGTTAATTAGATTTCAATTAAAAAATGGAAAGTACTCTGCCTAAAGTGAGAGGTATGAATCAGAGAGGCTAAATCCAAGGTCTTATGTCTCCACCATTCTAATTCTGTCAAAAAAAAAAAGTTTGTTTTTTTTTCTAAGTCGGCTCCATGCCCATTATGGGGCTCAATCCCAGCCCTGAGGTCATGACCTGAGCCAAAGGTAGATGCTTAACCGACTTAGTGACCCAGACGCTATGGATATTAATCTCTTATTAGATGTATGATCTACAAATACTTTCCCCATTGTGTGGCTCGTCTTTTCACTCTGCTGATAGCGTCCTTTGATGCACAGAAGTTTTTAATTTTTTAATAAGGCCCACCGTATCTATTTTGTTGTTGTATATGCTTTTTGAGGGGGATGTGTGGTGAGAGAACATTCCAGGCTGAGGGCATTCTGTGGGCAGGCACAGAAACTAGTGGCAATTCCTTGGCAAAGGGTTTGGGTACGTGGGAAGGAAGAATGAGAGTAAGAGACAAAAAGACATCAAAAAGCTTGATGCTTGCACAAGAGAGGTAACAAAACAGGTATTCCTAACTCGAAGACCTTGAGGTCCCTAGAACAAGGGTCCAAGTTGTTCTGGAAGGTTCCACACCTTTCTGAGTCTTAACATTTCTATTAACAGCCAGAAACCTGAGAAATTCATCCTTCTGGATAACCTGGGCACTCATAAGAACATTGCCTCCTGCAAAAAGGAATTTTATTAAAGGAAAAGTAAGCCTACAATCATTAGGCATCACATCATGGATCAATTCCTGGCGTCCATAGTCTCACCCTGTCCGCAGTGGGCTCGGGAAAGGTCACTGCCCCAGGCATCCCCTGGCCCCACTCTGCTTTAGTAACATGTCTTGAGTCTGACACCTCTGTGTTGGGGCCCAGCTGCCCCAGGACACGGGAACTGGACAGTAGTGCTTTAATAAGGCCTGCTGGGTCCTCATAGCAAGTGAGGCACAGGTCTTAGGACCTTTCCACCCTCTGTAGTAAGGGTCAGTCTTCTTTCTGTGGGCACACCTCCCGGTTCAACTTTCCACAGGGCTCCACAGCCTTTGTTAGTCTTTCCTTTTGGCATAATTGATCACAAAGAAAATATTACCAGTAACTTAGAAAATTTCCTTTCAGCTTCACATAACATTATATGCCATTGAATTTTTAGAAATCCCGTGAAATCTGAGAACAACTTAATTGTGCTTCACTCATGCATGAGCTATAAGAATATATTAGGGCTCATCAAACGTTCTTACGGGCTGAATACATAACCCTGCGCTGACGGGACTCAGGGCGGATACTGTGGATTTTACGTTATCTTCGTTAACGGCAACATCGCGTGTCCAAGAAACAGGAAATAGAAATTGAAATGTTTCTTCAAAGCATTCCTCTGCTTTACTCCTCTTCGTTAGGTAGTTTATGAAGCAACCCGTGGCGGCACATTTCTACTTGCGGACACTGCATCACTGCGTGCGCTGCTGACAGAAGAGAAATTTCCATTTGGACGAGTCTTAATGAAAACCCAATCTCTCACTGATAGTTTCACATGTCAGATGATTGGGAGAATTTTCCGCAGAGCAGCTTCCGGGGCAGAGCCTCTCCTGAAGAGTTGCATCAGCTTCAGGCCTTCACCTGCCAAGTTGGAGGAGCTTCACCCTTGGTTCTGGGGCAGGTGGGAAAACAGAGGCCATACTCCTCACTTTTTTGGCTACTCCTTAGGGGAGATTGCCTTCCCACTCAGGTTGCATATTCCTCAGGGGTCAGCTGTGGCTCTGCTGTGTGTCGTTTAGATTCCCGTGGCCAGGGTGGAGGAGCTGTCCCCACGTGGAGCATGTGGTCTCGTGTCACAGTGCAAAAAGGATTGGCGGATCATGGGAATTCCTTGAAAGCACCTGCTTGGAGTGGAATATGTCATTGCCACTCACATCTCATTGGCCAAGTGTCACATGACCAAGCCTAAAGCCAACGGGGGACGGGGATGTGCTATTCTCCAATAGGGAGGGACTCCAAATATGGCTGTATGTATTTGGGACAACATACGGTCTATCTCATTAGCCCTTTGGGATTGATTAGAGGCAAAGACATTTGGAATATTTGCAGAATGTTGGCTTTCAAATACCTATTTGTAGGGTGAAATTAAATCAAACATGCCTGGCTGGCTCAGTAGGTAGAGAATGTGACTCTTGATCTTGGGATTGTAAATTCCAGTTCCACCTTGGGTGTAGAGATTGCTGGAAAATAAAATCTTTAAAAACCAAACTAACACCTGATGTAATCATATTGTCTCTAGTGGAGTGCTTTAAAGTAGGTGATAGGTCAGAGCTGTCTAACAGAAATGTAAGTTTGTAAAACTTAGTGATGGCAGCCCTACAAAACGAATACAATTGTCCCTCTTCTGAAATTGGGTTGTAGCAGGTTAATTAAGAGGCACTTTATATTCCTATTTTAAGTTTCTATTTATCCTTTTATTTCTTTTTGAGATACGATGAGAAAACACGAGGTGATCAGAATTTACTCTTCATTTTTAAAATTCAGAACTGGCAACGTGCATCAGAGCAAGCAAAAACCAAGCAGAAATGAAGGTAAATATGTTGTTTTATTTACTCCAAGAAAACAGACTACTCCCTGCATTGTGTGGCTTACTGCCAGAGCAGTTGTTGGAAAAACAGTTATACGTACATTAAAAATGACATCTACAGAATCAACTATCAAATTATTTGCAGAAAACAATGAAAATGAAATTTTCATTCCCAACTCCAATATCAAACAACGTTATTAACATTGTTTACAATATTAATTATGCAAAGTAGGTGGAGGATAGCAGACTCCCAAATAAATTGCCAATTTAGATGGAAACTACTCACTCTGAAAAGTCTAAGAGGTATCTTTGAAGTACTGCTTGCTTCAAACACAGGGAGAATATTGGAGATTCATAAGGTTTCAAAAAACTACTTTACCAGAATAATATTTGAAGTTAGAACATTTTTTTATATCCTCTTACAACATAAAATAGAACATACTGATATTTATGGAAAAATCCAAGAATGTCCAAGTCAATTTTTATTGTGTATATATAACCTCTGTGTTCAATACTGAAAATGGTAACATAGTATTAGAAGGCTTAGCTTCAGCAATCAGACAACAAAAAGAAATAAAAGCCATCCACATTGGCAAGAAAGAAGTCAAACTTTCACTTTTTGAAGAGGACATGATAGTCTATGTAGAAACCTGAAAGACTCAACCAAAAAATTGCTAGCACTAATACATGAATTCTGTAAAGTCGTGAAATACAAAATCAACGTACAGAAATCTGTTGCATTCCTATACATCGAAAATGAAGCAGCTGAAAGAGAAATCAGGGAATTGATTCCATTTAGAGTTGCACCAAATGAGGTGCTAGGAATAAACCTAACCAAGGAGATAAAAGATCTGTACTCTGAAAAAAAAAAAAAGATCTGTACTCTGAAAACTATGGAATACGTATGAAAGAAATTGAGAAAGACACAAAGGAAGAGAAAAACATTTAATGCTCATGGATTGGAAGAACAAACATTATTAAAATGTCTATGCTACCCAAAGGGATCTATAGATTGAATGCAATCCCTACCAAAATACCACCGGCATTTTTCACAGAACTAGAACAAACAATCCTAAAATTTGTATGGACCCACAAAAGACCCAGAATAGCCAAAGCAATCTTGAAAATGAAAAGCAAAGCTGGAGGCATCATGATTCCAGACTTCAAGCTGTATTACAAAGCTGTGAACATCAAGAGCATGTGGTACAAAAATAGACACCTAGGTCAAAGAAACAGAATAGAAAAACCCAAAAATGGGCCCACAATGATATGATAAACTAATCTTCAACAAAGCAGGAAAGAATATCCAACGGGAAAGTTTTTTTTTTTAAATAAATGATGTTGGGAAGACTGGAGAGTCCTATAAAGAAGAATGAAACTAGAGCACTTTCTTACATCATACACACAAAAAAATTCAAAATGTATGAAAGACCAAAATGTGAGACAGGAAACCATCAAAATCCTAGAGGAGAACACAGGCAGCAATTTGACCTCAGCCACAGCAACTTCTTACTAGACACATCTCCGGAGGCAAGGGAAACGAAAGCAAAAATGAACTATTGGGTCTTCATCAACAAAACTAAGAGTCAGCCTACGGAATGGGAGAAGATATTTGCAAATGACATACATAGTAAAGGGTTAGTACCCCAGATCTATAAGGAACTTATCAAACTCAACACCCAAAAAAACAAAAAATCCAGCTAAGAAATGGGCAAAAGACACGAATTAGACATTTTTTCCAAAGAAGACATCCAGATGGCCAACAGACGCTTGAAAAAAATGCTCAGCATCACTCATCGCCAGGGGAATACAAATCAAAACCACCGTGAGGTACGGCTTCACACTGTCAGAGCGGCTAAAATGAACAGCTCAGGAAACAACAGGTGTCGGTGAGGATGCAGAGAAAGGGAAGCCCTTTTCCGTAGTCTTGTACTGCAGGTGGGAACACAGGCTGGGGCAGCCACTGTGGAGCACAGTGTCGAGGTTCCTCAGGAAGTCACCAATAGAGCTGCCCTATGGCTCAGCAAGTGCGCTACTAGGTATTTATCCACTGGATACAAAAATACTGATTTGAAGGGGTCACGCACCCCGATGTTTGCAGCAGCATCGTCAACGATAGCCGAACGATGGGAAGCGTCCCAAATGCCCATTGACTAATGAATGGATAGAGAAGACGTGGTCCGTGTATATACAATGGAATGTCACTGAGCCACTGAAGAGAATGAAATCTTGCATTTACGGGGCCGTGGATAGAGCTAGAATCAGAGGGTATTACGCTAAGTGAAATAAGCCAGTCACAGGAAAACAAATACCGCGCACCCTCATTTATATGTGGAATTTAGGAAACAAAACAGATGAACGTATGGGAAGGACAAAGAGCCTACTTTCAGGGCACCCGGCTGGTGCAGTCGGTGAGGCGTCTGCCTTTGGCTCAACTCATGATCCCGGGGTCCCAGGATCAAGCCTTGAATCAGGTTCATTGCTCAGCAGGGATCCTGCTGCTCCCTCTCCCTTTGCCTGCAGCCCTGCTCGTGTCTCTCTGTCAAATAAGTACAACTTAAAAAAAAAAAAAAAAAAAAGAAACAAAGACCCTACTTGAATGGAGCTGGCATTAGAGTCAAGGAGATAAAAATACACATTTCTCTAAGATCTGTCCAATCAGTGTGCCCGAAGACTTCACCTTTGCAACTGAAATTATGGGTCACATCACACGGGAAGTGACTTTGATGGTTTCATCCAATTTGCAAGGGTCCAGCCATAGTTGCAGCTGCAGCGGTCCTCTCCTGGAAGCAGGAGCGCAGGGGCAGAGTGGCACTTCGGGCCAGGGCAGTTCAGTTGGCAGCTGAACTTCAGAGCTGTGGGTATTCTTGAGGATTCTCTTCTGCTGCTCTTCCCTCCTATAGCAAATGTAAACACCTACTTTTTGTTTTGGGGCCTCTCTTGTTCACACGACTCCAAACCCTTGTGCTGATGCGAGTTTGGGAACCGTGGTCTGGGGGCGCCTGGGTGGTTCAGTTGGGTAAGCCCCCGGCTCTTGATTTCAGCTCAAGTCATGGTCTGGGGGCTCCCAGGATGGAGCCCCGGGTCGGGCTCAGCGGGGCATCTGTTTGAGAGTCTTTCTGCCTCTCCCTGGCTCTCTCTTCCTCTCCTAAGAAAAAGAAAAGAAAGAAATTTCAGAGTCAAAAAAAGTACTTAACGCGTGTATTTAACCCAGGCGGGATCATTTGGTCTTCATGCAGAGGGAGGGACTCAAATTCAGAGGTTTTTTTTTTTTTTTTTTGAAAATTTATTTATTTTTTTCTCAGTAATCTCTACCGTCAGCATGGGGCACGGACTCAGGACTCTGAGACCACGAGGCGGGCTCCTCTGACCCAGGCCGCGGGTGCCCGGCCTGTCTGAAACCCCCGAGGCTCGGCCTGGGTCGTCAGACCTGGACGGTGCTGGATTCTTCGTCACAGGAAGAGACATCAAGCGTGGCTCTACAGGCTAGAGCGCTCGATTAGAGGAGGCTGAGGGCTCCCTGCACAACCAGGTGCCCGGCCTGCACAGCCAGAGCAGTGGCCCGGCTCCTGTTCTGCAGTCGGCCCCCAAAGCCACCACTGCTGCCACAGCAGCCCATGCCGCAAACTGGGGCCGCCTCCGTCCCACTCACGGACGCGGGACATTCGTGCTCCAAGCACAGAAGCGGGCGGCCCTGTCCCCTGTGGCCTGTGCCCTGCAGCCCGTCCCTTGTGCCCTGTGTCCTGCGGCCCGTCCCCTGTGGCCCGTCCCCTGCAGCCCATCCCCTGTGCCCTGCGCCATGTGCCCTGCTGCCTGTGCCCTGTGGCCTATCCCTTGTGCCCTGTGCCCTGCAGCCCATCTCCTGAAGCCCATCCCCTGTGCACTGCAGGGTGGGCGGGAGGCCGAGTCAGTGTCCTTTACCCACAGGGATGGGCGGGGGGGCGGTGCTGGGTGCATGTGCTTCACCCGCAGGGGTGGAAGCAGGGCTGGGCAGGGAGCTGGTCCTTCACCTGCAAGAGTGAGTCGGGGCTGGGGGGGGGGGGCTGGGTGCGCGTCCTCACCCCTGTGTGTCCCGCCCCTGCCCCACGGCCCCCCTGCCTGGGCACCAGCAGCTAGCCCTCCTGCAGCCCCCTGGGCAGGTGGGGGCGGGCGGCCCTCCACACGTCTCTCCCTCTGCGGAAAGAACCGAAGACTATTGGTGTGGACCTTCAAATCCCTACCAGGAGGAGGGCAGGCCCTTCAGCAAGGTGGCACAGTCCGCAGGTTCACACTAGGGGAATATGGGGACACAGCCATGGGCCACCCTTGCTCTGGGCTGCACCCCAGATGTCGGGGCTCCCCACCTTTCCAGGCCTGAGCCTCTGTAGCTGCTCCAGGCGACTGCGACTCACGTGAAAGTGCAGGGAGCACAGCGTGGAGCCCTTGGGGTCACTGCTAAGACGGGCCCTTGGTGATTCCGGGACACACGGAACTGAGAACGGCCTGAGCGCCAGCAGCTCCAGGCCCCTCTTGCCCCGAGGTTGTCTGTGATGCTGACTTTGGTCCTCACCGAGGTCTGGAAGGGATCAACCCCGGGGGTTCTGGAAATGTCATGAGATCCCACCACAAC